TTCCCCCCCCATCCCTAAACAGAGGTAACCATCCAAGAGAATGCACATGAGTCCCAATGTGGAAACTGAAAATGCTTTCTCCAATAATGGATCTGTTATTTCAGAAGCAACAGATCAAATGTCTCTCTTCACCACACGCCCGCAGGGACCCGAGCCACCCGTTGTGCAGTCTGGAGAAGTGGTTCTGGCTGGGGTTTCTGTACTTACATGGTGACTGCCAGAGGGAAAAATGCCTCCCTCGGCCTGAATCCCCACTGTCCTCAAAGAGCTGGCAAAGTCACTGGGCCCTGCTTTACTTTGCTCCACAGCTGCACAAAACCAACCACCAGGGCTTCTCATGGTGTCACAGGATCATAATTAATCAGCAGACACCAGCAAAACATATGCCTCTGGAATTTACTTGTAAAGAAAGCTGTGAGATTTTCAAATGCTTCTCATTTAGAAGCAATCACTTCAAAAATAACTCCTGATGGATGTTTAAACTTAGTCCTATATTTGCTCACCTTACTTGGCAAAAACAAGACTGTTTTTGAAACGCTTGGAAGCTCAGGTTTATGAAAATCGGGCTACAGGTCCATCAATTTTGTCACCTTGGGCACAAACCAGACAGCAATTGTGCTCCTGGTTACTCACCAGGAACACAGAGATCTGGGACAGAAGGAGAGAAAGGCACACTCGGAAGAACCTCGGTGGAAACAAGCACGGAGAAGAGACAAAAGGAGGGAGAATCAGAGAAGTCAGGGAAGGGGGCAGAGAAAGAGAGAGAGAAGAGAAGAGGAGAAAGGGAGAGGACAGAAAAGTTTGTGAGCAAACATATGAACGAGGTTACTGTTTTGAGGTAATATTTTTAAGAAGATTAATAAAAATATTTGAATACACAAGTACCCTTCCATGACATTTAGAGTGTTGAGCTAAGGAAAATTGAGGCCCTCCTTTGGTGTGGAGTCCAGGCCCAAGGCCTAGAATTGTGATCCAAGGCTCTTGGGAAGGGTCATTTGTCCATCGGCTCTTAAAAGATGACGGGGTAGGGACCAGCAGTTAGTGTAATGGCTATGTCGCTGGACTCCCATGCAGTCGACTGCAGTTCGAGTCCCAAACCCGGGGGCTTAAACTCACACTGGGTGCATGTGTGTGCGTGTCCAAGATTCTGAGAGGAGAATGGAGGAGAAAGGACTGCGGCATGGCCATCCCCCTGGGACTGTGGTGTGGCCATCTCCCTTGGGGTGTGATTTCTCGCTTTCGGTCTCTCTCTGTCTTTCTGGAGAGCACACGTGCCCTATAGTAAAAACCTCTCCATAAAAAAAAAAAAAAAAAAAAAGGTGACAGGATAAGAGAACCCCTCTTTCTCCTGTTTCTTAAAATCTTCGTTTAAAAGCACTTCTGGACTAAGAAAGTGGTCAGGCTCAGCTCTGGGACAATTTGGAAACAGCATATTATACATGGCAGTACGGAGCCAAGCAAAGGGAAACCAAGCTGCCAGAACCAAGGAGAACACACAGGAGAACTCAGAAGTCTAGTGTCACTTTACATGTCATTGCCAACAAAGGGTGAACCTTAATGTAAACTACGGACTTCCATCATAATGCATCAGTGTTGGTTCAACAATCCTGTTTTTAGGTTTTTGCCATAGGGATGTGTGTTCACAGGACAGAGAGAGGGAAAATGAGAAATCATCTCCCAGGGGAATGGCCGTGCCGCAATCCCTTCTCATCCAGTCTCCTCTGGAGATTTTGTGCACATGTGCCCTGTGTGATTTTCAAGCTGCTAGGTCTGAGACTCAAACCATGGTTAGCCATGTGGCGGTCCTTAACTACCACACCCCCTGCTGGCCTGGGTCATCATTCTTAACAAATATATCACACTAATGCAAAATATTAAGAGTAGGAGAAAAGGGGGCTAGCGGATAGCGTAATGGTTATATTGTTGGACTCCTGCACAGTTGACCACAGTTCAAATCACAGAACCGACGGCTTAAAACTCATGCTAGGCACGTGTGTGTACATGCTCAAAATCCTGAGAATGGAGAGGAATGGATGTGGCATGGCCATTCTCTCAGGGGGGAGGGGAGTGATTTCTCACTTTTTGCCTCTCTGTCTCTCTAGCAAGTGCATGTGTCCTAAAGCAAAAATCTTTCTTTTTTAAAAAATGAGCAGACGGGGAGGGAGCAGTAAAGAGAAGAATTTATGGGAATTTTCTTTGGTAAACCTAAAATTATTCTAAAAATTAATCTATAAACTACATGAAAAATACTGTCACTCCTCAGGGGACAGCCAGTGGTTCTGGTGTGTTAACCAGGGTGTACTCAGGTGGCAGGGACATAACTGAAGAGAGAAGTGGGGTCAGACTGAAAAAGCCACTAACATTTCAGAATGTGAACTTCGTTCTGGAGCCAGTGAAGGTCTCTTCAGGGAGAGTGTCATTTCAGAGAAAAAGAAAGCCAGGGGCAGTGTGGCGGCTGGAGCAGAGGGGTAGGATGCCAAAGGCTACTGCAATGGTTCGGACAAGAGGCGAGGAGGCTAAGTCAGAGCCTCAAAACCCAAAGTGGCTGTAGATGTTTAATTTGGGCCACAAAGTATTTTTCAACCAGTATTTATGAAATGGGGGAGCTCAAATCAAAATCATTTTCATTTCTAGCTTTTACTGAAAAATCGGATGATCTAGCTATGAGGGCCTACCTTCCTGCAGGGTGACAGTCCCCTGGGCAGAACTGAACAGAAGCAGCAGCAGCTGACCCTGGAGATGACAAGGGCCTGGTCCCCCAGCAACCCCACTACCACCTGTCACTCTGGTCACTAAGGTGGAGTGTCAATGCCATTCACCACTGCTCTCATGCTTTTTTTATTTTATTATTTTTTTAACTTAGAGAATCTAGAGGAAAATGAAATATTTACTGAATCTAACACTATATTAAAAGTTTAAAAACAAAGGATGGACAGAGAGGGGATGTTGATGCCCACCTGCTGTTGCTCACTTACCTGCCTGGCAAAGGCAGAACCCTGATTTTGTGATCCTTTCCCCCACACCCCCCAATCTAAACTCTAGCAGCAGTGGAGCGGAGAGGAAAGGAAATATCTGAGACACCTTCTGGGGGCCAAGGAGACATGGCAACTGCTTTAGACAGGGAGTTAGGGTAGGAAAGAGACCTGAGCTCTGGCAGCTGG